GTTCAGCCAGTGGGTATAAGTAATCTGGCAACACCCTGCTTCATCACTGGCTTTCAGAAGCAAACTGCAGGATTTATACAACCGCCCAGATTCTTCAAGTGAGAAAGATCCAAATACAAAATAAAACACACAGTTTCAAGTTGGTTCACTAGTTCTGATTTTCACAGACAAAACAACTGATGTTCAAATGAACAAAAATTATAACTAGCCTAAAGGAAAGAAGCGCCTGCAAAGTTAATGAAAAGCTCCCTTCAGAGCTAAAAGCGTCAAGACACCGGGAACTTCACCACATAATCACAAACACTGCCAATTCTGCATCAGGAAAAACTGAAGTAGTCAGTGGCATAATTCTGAATACACCCCTTATGATTATCAACCTGGAAGTTTGACAGCTGACAGCAATCCAGATGCCAGTTAGACTACCATAAGCTTTTAACTTAGCATTCACCATTAAGATAGCAATCTTTCCTGAAACCATTCTCTCTTTACAGAAAAATTATCTTCTAATGATGCAATACTCTATACTTGCTCTTAATCCAAGTGCTCAGCTTTTGAAGTGCTAAAAAAAAAAAAAAAAAAAAAAAAGCCAGTCAAGAGTTATCAATCTCACAAACGAAATAATGTGTTACTTACAACTTTTAAGATCTGACATAACTTAAAGACTACACTCCAGAAGGAGCTAGGCCTCTGCAAAAAAACTCAATGGATTTGCAAAGGAGTGTTTGCAAGTAGCTCTGTAGTTAAAGTATTTCCGTCTATGAAAAGATCAAAAGGAATCATATGCACAGGTTGTGTAGCTGCTTGTGACAGCATTTGTAAAATGTACACCTGATGCTTCACAGGGAGTAAATGGAGTTCACAGACCAGAAATACCAGAAAAAAAAAAAAAAAAAGTAAACAGCTCCATGAGATGCCTGACTAAAAAGCACCATTCTGCATCTGCTTCCCAGAGACTTCATCTAGAATCAAGGTGCTGAGAAGGAAAATAAATGCTGTAACTGCTGGAAGAATTCACACCTCATTCTACTTTTAACTATAAACACCGTTAACCAGTTCATCTTCTTCCACAATCATATTCATAGTAGCAGCGAAGCAGGCATGTCTTGATTCCCCTTGCATTTAGAAATTTGACTGCAAGATCTTATTGGAGCTAATGTGCAATGAATGATATATGTTGTCCATAAGAGCTCACAAGAGGCTTATGTTTCACCAGAACTATGAAAATATTATAAAGACTATGAATTCCAAATTTACTCTTTGATGCTTTGACATCAAGTGCCATAGGAAGGTTAATGGATGATCCGTCTTCTGCTTTTCTTACAGAATGTTTTTCTGGTCTTGTAAAAAAACAAGTCCACTACTAAAGCTCATGCTATATTTAACCCACTCCTCCCTACAGCTTCCAGCAAGGTTTGAAGTCCTTTTCATATGCATTTTACATGAAGTTTACAGCAAAGAAAGATGTGAAGATTAATATATATGCATACATACATACACACACACACACAGAGCTACAAAGCACAAACACTGAGGCCACAGAGTTATTTCCCTGACCAAGCACAAACACTGATCCTACAACAGAATGCCAAAGCACATACCTAGTAACTACACTCAGCTTCTTCACTTTATCCACATAAGACCAGGAAAGGAGAAAGAATTCCATATTGGAGCTAACCCAAGAAAAAGCAGTTTAAGAAGATCCACTTTGTCTCACAGCTTGTCCCCTTCCACGAACTCCAGAACTCTGTATCCCTACAACAGAGATGCAAACCAGACCACTGGAGCAATCAGAATTAAACCATCATGGAAGCTTTCTTGCAAAAGCAAACAAAATAAATAAAACCAACAACAAACAAAACAATCCACCACCAACTGTATGGATTACTTCAGTCAAACAGCTCTACAGCAGAGACTGACAGTTACGATGAGACAGGAGTGATGAACCCTTGTAATACCTCCTGCAAATTCAATTTATCATGGACTAGTACAGTGAGACAGAAAACATCACTGAGAAGTAATGGAAAGAACTGAAAGTGCGTTGCCCCACAACTGCAAACTCATTTTTTTTTAAACAGATAAAACCAAGCGTTTGATAAGGAATTTGACTATCTACTCAGAGCTTCAGCACTAAAATTCAGAAAGTGCACTTCCAAAGGATAACAACAACAAAGAGTAACGAGAAAAAAAGAATTAAAATATTGTCAGAGTTTCTTGCACAGCAGATCTACGATGAAAGAGATGCACCCAGACAGAAGCACCTTGCAAAACTCATGATGAAAACACAGTGAGGGAGGACCTTGGGCTACAACTGCATGAAGGTACTGACAATGCAGCAGCACTGCAAGGCAAGAGATGCATTAAAGGTGAGGCTTTTTTCCACCCTTTACAAGGTTTTCATCTCAAATAAGTCACTGCACCTCTGCCTTACAACCACACTTCAAAGAAACTGCAGTATGAAGAGGATCCTAATCAATTAATAGTACACAGTTGGAAAGTTTAGCCAGCATTGCACAAGGTTTGGTCAAGAGAAACAAGTAAGCACAAAAACTTACAGCAAAGTCCACATAAATAAGTATAGAATAGCATGAGCACCTAAAGAACCATAGACCATGACAGCCATAACAGCGAGAAAGAACAAGAACAAGAAGAGAGAATATCCAACAATTTAGATTTCTACTTCCTGTTCCAGGAGTTTGGAAAAGAAGGAATGCAGACTGAAGCTGACTGTCAGTTCTACAAATGGAGGACAGTAACTCGATAAGATTTGGAAGGCAGTAAGATCCAGGAAAAGGTAAAACAAAAACCAAAAAACAAAAGCCCAAATGTTTGGATATAAACAGAATGAATAGGAATTTAGGGTCAGGCTAAGCAATTAAAGGCAGAAGTAGCAGACAACAAACATGGGAATCCATCACTGAAAGTAGTAGGCTCAGTGCAGAGAAAAGGTAAACACGTCAGTTGGAATCAGGTTTGTTTTTTCGTTTGTTTGTTTTGTTTTTTGCAGCCTTTAGATTCTACAGGGAAAGAAAAGCAGGAAAAAGCCTAAAGCAGAGCTCCTGACAGCCTACAAAGCAAAGGAACCAGGAAATGCACTGAAAGAAAAAAAAAAAAAAAAGGCAATTGAGCATGAAATAAGAGCTATGGAGAAGACACTAAAGAAATCTGCCTGGTTCAACAGCCAGTCTCAGGTAGATGCAGTAACATCAATGAGATGAGGAGGTGGCAGTCGTGAGAAAGGACTTGGAGATGCAGAACTAGACAAGAAAATGGCTGGCAAAGCCAAAATACAAGTAATCGCCTCTCAGAAACAAGAATGAGGATTAGCAGATGAAGATCAAACAAGCTAGGGAGCTGGAGAATAAACTTAAGGAGAAATGAACTTGATAAGGTCATAAGGAATGAGGATAAGGAGTTATGATAAGGAAGACTTTGAAAGCCTAACATGAAGCTGAACAGGGAGAAACAAGATACGAGGCAACATGAAGGAACATCTGATGGATCTCAGGGAAAGCTTCGGAGGAAATAAGGGAGGGGAAGGCATAAAGGCAGGAGTAGAGGAAGCCAACATCTATTGTTAATGATAAAGGAAGGAGATGACAGACGATAGGCTGTAAAGCAGAGCTGCACTGTTGGTAGAAAGGTTTCTGCAAACAATATGCCAGAGAAAACTGTTGCTGATGAAATATTCAGCAACCAGCCTTTGATTCACATTTCCTGAGGAGATGCAGAATTGCTCTTGGTTAGGGAATTAAATAATCAACCATTCTATACAGCTCAGTTATGTAGACAGGATGCTAAGCTCAATTACTGTGCCACATCTTGCCACACACAAGGAAAGCAAATGAGAGTTTCAGCAGCATATCATCAGCATCATGAGATCTGGCGTGGAAAGGCAAATTTCACAAAAAAAAAAAAACAAAAAAAAAAACAAAAAAACTTAAAATGGGTTATTTGAAATCTGAGAACTTAAAACATCCAATCTTCTATTTCTCCCTGCTTTTGGTCTAACAAAAACCACAGACCTGCTTTTTCATTTAAGAAAAGAACATAAACCGAACAAGCAATTCAAATTCATAAGAAACACCTTAAAGGGGGGTATGAAAAGCTTACAAGAACGAATTTTGATACAGATCATAGAAAGTGAGGTTGGAAGGGACTTCAAAACATCACTTCAAAACATCTGCCTCGCTCACAGTGCTCAAAGTCCGTATCAGCCTCGCTTAAGCCACTCCTAGCAGATGTTTATCCAGCACAGTTTTAACAAACCTCAAACCACAGACTCCCTGGCAGCAGCCTGCTGCAGTGGCCTCATGATCTGAACATCTCTAACATTCGTGGAAAATGACATCCTCTGTAACTCCAGACCATTTCCCCACATACCACACAAAGCTCACTGCCTCTCTCTTTGCAGCAAAATTTGCCATACAGAAAGGATGTTGCTTCCTACTGCAACTGGACAGCTCTGCAGTGCTTTGCGTGGGAAGGACAGAATCCTTATTAAAAAAAAAAAAAAAAAGAGATTAAAAATACGGTAATAAAGAGGAATACTGACTGAACGGCTGACTTAAAAAACTCATCCCTGTGATGAGTCATCCGGGACGGCAGAGATGGACTTTCCAACAGAAGCAGCCCGCTGGAAGCTGGATCCAGCCACCGCAACCTGAGAGCCAACATTTACGGGCGGGCACCGTCGCGGCGTTAGTCACGATCACAACCTCAGGAAGGAGGCCGAACAAACAGTGTGAAGTTCCGGGGGGAGCAGCGCTACACGACTGGAGGGACCCGGCGAGGGAAAGTGGCCGGGGGGTGGGGGGACCGAGGACAGCCCCACACACCGGGAAGGGCGGCGGGAGCAGCCGGGCCCGGAGCGGGGCAGGGCCGAGGGCAAGGGCTGAGCCAGGACGGGGGAAAAGGACACAGCGCGGGCGGGGGCTGCGAGGCCGGGGGCGCGGGGGGCCCGGGCGGCGGCGGAGCAGCAGAGCGGGGCGCGGGGCGCTCACCTGCGCGGCGGAGCTGCAGCAGCCCATGGCGTCCGTGCGTCCCCGCCCCGGCGGTGCCTGCTAGGCGCTGGACATCCACCCGCCGCGACGGCCCGCCCCGGGGCGGCGGTGGTGGCAGCGGCGGCGACGGGCGAGGCGGCGCGGGGCAGTGCCGGGCCCTTTCAAGACAGCTTCACTCCTTTCACGACTCCGCCGCGGCGCCCCCGCAGCCTCCCCGGCGGCGGCGGCCGCGGTCGAGGGGCGGAGCCTGAAGGCGGGGCGGGACTTGAGGGCGGGGCGGGCCGCGAGGGCGGGGCCGGGGCACTGCAGCGCCGGGGGTACCTGCGCCACCGGCCGGCACCGCCTCCGCTTCCGCTCCGCCCCGCGCGGGGGGTCGCTTCCGCTGGCGCAATCTCTTTTGCCCGTTCGCCTTGTTGCCTAGGCGACAGCGGGGACGGAGGCAGGCTTGGCGCGGTGCCAGGCTGCCCTCCGTCTCTGAGTGGCTGCCGAGCGAAGCGGCGGCGCGGGGTGCCCCGCCGGTGGTCTGGGAGCTGCAGATAAGGCTCTCGGAGCGCAGAGGGAGGTCCCTGCGCAGCTCTGCGGTGCTTTTCTGCTCCCCGTTGGGAGGCACTGTGAGAAGCCCGCGGGCCCGTGCCTTGAAATGCCTTGGGTGCGTTTTATCCCGTTCGGCAGCTCTTATTTTAGTCGCAGCTGTGGTCTCATGTGGTCAGGTGAAAGGGTGGCCTGGAGTGATTGTGGATGATGCTCCCGTATCCCTACAGTAAGGGCGATTGCCATATGTTTCTCGGCTGGCTTGGGCAAGTTTTGCAGCCTTCCCAGAGACAAGCTCCAGGATTGCTATTTTGAGGTGTCTGCCTCCGTGGCTGCAGAAAAAGTGGTTTCATGTTGCTCATCAGCTACATCAAAGTTCAGGCTCCAAGTGTAGGCAGGACCACGTGTGTGAAGCAGTCCCCGGCAACAGATGCCTCAGTGCAGCTGAGATCAGTAATGGCGAGGCTGCATCTTGTAGTCATTAATAGCAGCAAAGGCAACAACTCTGCTCAGAATGGAGGAGAGTTCTCCTTGGAAGCTTGCAGCCCTTTTCTGGGTAAGGTTGTGTGGCCCAGCATTTTTACTTGAAGGTCAGTGCAATCCCATTGATAGAACAGAATACCCACAGTTAGAAATAACGCTAGATTGATTTAAGTTTAAAGGAGGGCATGTGACTAGCAAAGGAGGCTAGTTAAGGTTTTCAAATAGAGCTAAAACTGGTGTGTGGGTGAATTATGAATCATGCATCTTTTTTAGCTCTTCTGAATTTAATGGCAAACAGTGTTGCCTTCACAAATTTCCTAAGTTCTTGCTTGTGGGTTAAAAATTTTTTTTACCACTCGAACACACATTGCCATCGTTTTTCATTGTTCTGCCTGATCCTATCCAAATACTCACATGGTATTTGAAAGTGTGACCTTCAAAGTAGTATTTTGCAGCAGTGCTTACAGGCCTGTCCGACCGCAGCCTGCATGAGGCCCAGCACAGCTCACAATGCAGCTGCCCCCTGCCCCGTACCATCATGGTGACATCTCTTCCCTTCTGAATGTCCCACCTTGGCCCCTCAGCAATAACCAAATAGTGGTGCACAATTAACTCTCCTCTTTGTCTTGTCAAGCCAGCAAGAGTTTGCAAGATATGTTTGTTTAACCAGATCCTTGTGACCAAAACTCTTCTCCTCAGCTTTATCTTGTTTTGCAGGGATCCCCCCTTTCCCCCCGTCCTTCTTTATGCTTCCAAAGTTTCAACTTATTTTGCAAGGAAATTTTATCCTTTCCTTTTTCATCTCAAAACTTTTATAAGACTTCTCTTAACAGAGAGAAATGCCCGTCACTTCACAGTCACGCCTTGTTCGTGTCGTTGCTTTTTGGTAGCATGCACAGTTGAGAACAATTGTCAAGGATAAAATACGGGAAAAGTAAAATTTCAACAAAAATCTCTACTTGAACACCTTTAGAGCTCACTGAGAACTTCATCCACTGCCACTGAACTAGCCTGATGCATTAGTTTCACAAAAACAAGGTCACATATCCCACTAGTTTTATGTTTTTGTTACTCACGTTTGTGTATGTTTTAATTAAAAAAAAATTGAAATTGAAATAAGTGTTGTTACTTTATATACGTTAACTATGTTTTACATTTAACGAGGGCTGCTGCAAAATCAGTGCCTCCTATTTTATGACACGACATCAGACTTAGATGCTGGTGTTGCGGCAATAAAGACTGAACCTTCCCTCTAACATCGCATTCCATTTTGTTGCCATGTGACAGATGGCAGAGAGGGCCAGTCTGACAGAACAGCATCTGACATTGGAATGTATTAAGCAAAGGTGTGTCGCTGAACTCCCCCCATGTGGAAAAAATTGTACCCACTGACATTCATCAACTCTTGGTTTATGGAGATCAAACAGCAGATGTGAGCACAAGGTGGTGGGTGCGTTTCAGCAGTGGCAATAGTGACAGTGGTGTGACTGCTGGTGTGGATGTTTACAAGCACGACATGCAGGCCTTTGTTCATTGCTGGCAAAAATGCATGGCTAATGGTGGTGATTGTGTGAAAAAACAGTGTTTTGTAGCTGAGAATTTTTCAGTCAAACAGTGTTACTGTACTCTTTGTTATAATTTCTGTAGAAATAAATAGGAGTCATAACTTTCAGAGTAACCTACATATATGTGGCCCAAGACCATTCTCTTTACTCAGTGTAGCCCATGCAAGCCAAAAGCATTAATGCTTTAGGAGGCATGTTTCCTTGATGATCAATGCAGGAATAGGCAATAAGAAACTTCCAGTCAATGACTGCACGACTTTGAACACATAAGTCACTTTTGCTGTTTGTATAATTGACCTTTGGCCTAGCCTTTGTCTTTCTCACTTCCTTCAGTAACCGCAAGATGATACCTGTGCCGTAGGTGTGACTTAGTTTGTTAAGAAGATTTTTTTGATGTAGTCATTGTATTTCATCAAAGTGTTGTTGTTATTATTTAATATTGCTTCTGCTTTTTAATTAGACACTTCATACATTCAGCATAATTATCTGAAGATAGCAGTGGATTAAATCATGATCTCCACATTTATAGACTCTTTCAGCAGTCAGAAGCTCTGTGCAGCTGTGTGGAGGGAGTGGTAGATTTGCAGTGATTAAGTAATTCTGGGCCTTCACAGTGAGGAGGAGTACTTCTGGAAAAGCTTGTAAAGACATACCAGCTGTCACATAGGTAGCTGGGGTCTAGAATCAGTATGTGACAACTGCAGAAAGCAATTGGTCAAGTGTAAGCATTAGAAGCAATCGTCAGAGTAATTGCCCTTATCTGTGTCTCTGCCCTGAGGAAATTAGTTGCATTTTTGACAGAGGCAGTAATAGAGGCAGCAGTAAATGTCTGGCTTTTGTTAGTTGAACTGCACTTTTTTGGGCCAGTTGCAGAAAGAAGATAAAGGGTTTGAAAGTTCTTTCTTACTCATGTTTGCACTTGTTTTTGTGTAAATTCAGATTAGTATTTCAGGGATAAACTTGAGGGGACAGAAAGCAGAACAGCTGAATCTTAATTTAGTAATGCAGAAGTTGAACCTTAAGCAAATGCTTAAGTAGATATTTTGAACCATGCTTTATGGATTTCTTTTTGAAGCTGATTATAATTAGCTCTAAGGCATCTTTATATCACAAGCTGTTAGAATCTAAATCTAACTGCCTAGATTTAGGGTTAATAAAAATTTAGACTTGTATAACAGATTTGAATCTACCCTTCTCCCTTCAGCCTGGAAGGATAAACTTCATATGAATGTTTATTTAATTTCTAGTCTCAGAATGGCAGGTTAGAATTTCTGAAGTATCATCTGATACTGAGACAGAGCGACAGCAACACAAAGAAGGCCTTAAAATGACAAAATGCCTTTGGTACATAAGTAAATTGTAGCTTATATCCAGACTGTTTCTGCTCTAGGAAATGTCGGAGGGACAAAATAGAAGATAAGGAAGCATTCCACAAAGCACGTATTCCGTGACAAAATTTATCTTTTCTCACCAGGTGTAGAATCCTGACCTTGGGCAACCATATTTAAAGACCTAATGGCTTTCCAAAGTTGAATAACAATCTCTAGCTTCTATTCCTAATTACTGGGAAAAATGCCTTTAACGTATCAGTAGATAAAATTCAGATCTTTTGTATATATCTTTAAATGAGAATGTTGAGACAGAATTTTCAGACAAGCCTCAGTACTGAGCTGCCTGCTTAATCAAAAGGAGATCCAGATCAAGCCTTGCTGTTAATGAAAAGTTGCATCATGCAGGCTAAAAGCCAGTTCTGCTGTACAAGGTGTTATTAGAGTGTGTGCTCCCCTCCCTTTTCTAAAAGACAAATTCAACTTGTTACCATTATGCTAACCTTTTCCGCCCACTAACAGCTTTGCACACATAAATGCTTGGCAACCACTCTGTATTTTTAACAATCTAATCCTGTGTAACTTCTGTGCTCCTAGCGTCAATATTTCTTGTTTGGCTTTTTCTTTTTTTATTCCTTTTAAATATAGAATCACATATTCATTTTGCTCTGTGAACAAACTAGCTGTTTTCCTTCATACATGTCTGTCAGTGCAGGATGTAAGACTGATTCTGCTGATTTCAGAACAGAAATGAAATAACAATATGAGAAGGTGTTCCAGTAAACACACTGCAAATGGTATGGCTCTGAGCAGTGTGGTGGTAAAGCCCATTGATCTACTCAGCATCTTGAGGCTACATTATTTTATATAGACTGATGGTCTTCCTGAAAAGTTAAACATGTTTTTACAGTTGTTTACTACTGGGAAACTACGGCATCTGTTGCATCAGTCACTCGGGACACCAGTTACAGAGCAGAAAATTGAAGCTGTATCCTACAGATTCTAGTATTTACACTGAAGGTACTTTTAGTTAAGAGTTTTATTCAATCATGGCAAAAGCGTATGAGTATTCCTGCTAAGCAGTTAGAATGGAAGGATTCTTGCAGAATTTTTTGTCTCTTACCAGGAGAAGTTATGTACTGTTCAATGAAAGAGTTCTTAAGTTTCTTCTTGGTGAC